TATTTCTGCTGCTTCATGGGAAATAAAACAGAGACAAAGCTCATTGATTTATGATAAGAAAACCAAGATTCGATAGGAACGTTAATGAAGATTATCATATAGCAGCAGTGTGCAGAACCGGTTTGGTGTAATCTGGAACTGATGGCCCGTTTAAGAAAGCAGAAATGTTGAACCGGCAGAAAAACAATTTAACCCGTAAAGATCTGATATCTGTTAATGCTTCCTGCAATTCTGGCATTGATAAATGTAAAATTAGCAGATGACTGCCTTTCTCGTGTGCTCAAATCCCTATCCACGTCACATCCATAATTTTTGTTTTGCTCCTTAATTTTTTAAAGGGTTAACTATACAAATGATCACTTATCTTTGTGTTTTGTCCACTTTTGATCACTGATTTCAAAAAACATAAGATATGATCACTTTTGTTTTTATTTAATTAAGATGTGGACACCCCGAATACACTGCCGTTAACAGCAGTTAAATATTTTGATATAATCACACATTTGATCCTTATTATTTACATATTCTCTCAATTTAATCTTAATTTGATATAAATCTTAAAGGTCGAATTCTCATTTTAGTCCCTTTATTATGCTTAATTTTGTGGTGGTTGTTTTTTAAAAGGTAAAATACATTCTTAAATATTAAACTTTGACCATATTTTTGTTTTGATCATTGAGCTATAAAAGTTAAAATTATAGTACTAAAGTTTTCTAATTCATTTTTTAGTCATCAAACCGTTAATATTTTAACGCGGTTTATGATGTGATTTTTTCTTTTGTAAAAAGATATTAAATCCTTTCAATTATCATCTACCAACATACGTGACATAGATGGTACAACAACATTTACCTTTTATCACCCATTTTCTTCTCAATAATTTTCTTTTTCTCAAAATTCATTCAAAATCAATGAAAATCAAGTTCGAATTTTAATCTTCTAATGCTCAAATCTCTTTCGATAATGGTCCAATGAAGTTAGTTTCATAATATATTATTTTCTTAATGAAAGCATGTTTCTTACCATTTAAATTTTGTGGTGACCACGTCCAAAACCATTAAATCCGACAACTTTTTTACCCCTCTAAGAAAGAAAGAGATAAGTGATAAAGTTTTGTGAATTTTATAAATATTTTGACAAAATTAAATTGATAAACAATAATAAAACAATTTATAAGTGTCTAGAGTCCCCAAAGATATAAGAGAATGTGATAAAATGATAGTTGATAAATAATATAATTAGACTTACTTTATCATATACATCAGTCGAATAAATCTTGTAGTTAACAAACTAACATAATAGATTTAAAAGTATGATTAAATTGAGAGAATATATAAGTAACAAGGACCCAATGTGTGATTATATCAAATTATTTAAATATTGTTAACGACAATACTCGAAGTGAATACATCTTAATTAAATAAAAACGAAAGTGATCATAACTTAATTAAACAAAAACGAAAGTTATATTATATTTTTTGAAATCAATGACCAAAAGTTGACAAAACACAAAAATAAGTGATCATATGTGTAGTTGACCCTTATTTTAATGTCAAAAGTGAACTTTAAAATTTAGGGTAAATTACGCATTTAATATTTAAACTATTAGTTTTGGTTTGTTTTAGTATCTAAACCTTCAACTTTTTCAAAACTATACGTAAAGTCTAATTTTTGTTTCATTTTAGTAACCCGTTCAAAATTTTAAGTTAAATTATTAAAAATTGAAAATTTAGGCACTAAAACAAATCAACAATTATAGTTTAGGTACTAAACACATTAAATTTTAATGACGACGTACTAAAATGTAACAAAAACTAAACGTTAGGTATGGTTTGGAAAATTTTGAAGTTTAGATACTAAAACGGGTCAAAACTGATAGTTTATATACTAAATGCGTAGTTTACCCTAGAATATATTAGGAGTAAAGAATTTATTTACCCTAATTAAAGTTTAGAAACAAACGAAAATTAGGTTATAGTTCAGGGGTAGATTTGTCGATTAAGCCTAAAATAAAGCACCCCGGTTTGTTTATTCTTTTTTCCATATTAATTCAAAATTAGGCAGAAGAATTAATATGTAAATATTGATATTACCTTCATCTTTAATATAGTCCAATCCTATTAGTGTAATAATTTCTTTCAATTAATTCATTGGACATGATTTTTTTATTCCATAGCATCCATACATTTGACTCCATTATAGATATATACTCATGAAAGATGGGATCAGATTGTATATTTCTTCAAATAAAAAATTCATTTCATAGTCTCAATCATTGATGTAATTCCTTGTTAAATTTGTATACATATAATATAAGAAATGTGTTGTAATTCTATTCCAGGAAAAAAGGTTGGCATGGCTAGCAACAATCATTATTATTTAATAATCTATTCCATTATTTTAGCTTTATCGAATATGTCACATACTGAATATAGGTTGAAGTCCATATAAACAAAACCATTTATATATCATGGCTGACATAGTTCATTTCAATATTTAAATAACCATTTTATTTTATAGCTTTAAATAACCATATTTTTTACTTCCTATAATATCAGAGATTGATTAATAATCAGAGATTTTATATTTGTATACACACAAGGGATAAGGCCAATAAATCTTTTATATTTATATCAAAAAAATCTTTTATATTATACATGACTTGTTACAATCAAATTCATATAATCAATAAATAAAATTATACAAAATCTGTGGCGTCTAAATGGGAGAATTATTGTATTTTAAAAAATAAAACCAAGGAAATAGGGTTTTAAGATAAATTTTAAAAATGAAATAAAACGTATAATAATTATAAGAATCGTGTTGACAACTTTAATGAAATTGACATCTCTTTATTCGAAATTTTCTAAAATTATCATATTATTGTGTTGTACTAAATTAAGAAAGAATATTAAACATTAAATTAGTAAAAAGTGACAAATACATAAATTAATTATAAAAAACTTGAAAAAGTATTCTATTTTTGTATATTTGCTGTCGAGGAGGTTTATATACAAAAGTTTTGGAAAAGACAAAAAGCCCATGCACTACCAATATTATTGCGTGGAAGAGAAAGTCAATTCCCAAACGGTGTTTTTGTTATCCCCCGACCGAACACCGGCCTACCCTATCTCCTTAGCAATCGCTTGCCAACTCATCAATTTAACACAAAATAAATAAGGGTAAAGTTTACAAATGGTCTCCTAACTATAGTGTATTACATTGTTGAGTCTCTAACTATTTAAAGTTACAAAATAGTCTCTTAATTATATAGTGTTGTTTTTGTTAAATCTTCGGCTATTAAAAGTTATATGATGATCATTCAATTATTCAATATGTTCTGAACTCATTATTTTCTGTTAAAAAATTGATGACAGTCTTTAGCCTACTGACTGAGATATGATAAAATATGATCTCATAATCTCAAGCGACTATCATATCTCTGTCAACATGCTAACGTACACCTCAGATAACCGAAAATTTTTTAACAGAAAAATATGAGTTTAGAACATAATGAGTAATCGGATGATCATTTTGTAACTTTTAATAGTTTAGGGATACAACAAAGCAACAACTTAGAGTCATGGAATATAACTTTAATTGTTAAAAGATTAAACAAAGCAATACTCTATAATTAGGGGACTATTTGTGTACTTTATCCAATAAATAAATACATTAAATTTAATATTTATTATAACAAAAAGGGGACAAAACAAGCAGAGATGGCATCATTATCGTGAAAAATAAGTTTAATTGTTTATCAATTAATAATTTATATGTTATTTAATCTTCAAAAAATTGTTTATGCACCGAATATAATTTGGACAAAAAGATAAATATTGATTTAAAATGTGAAAATTTAAATATTAATGATAAATTAATCATGGATTAAAAAATCTTGGAAAAGTAGCACAAAAGTAATTTCCTTCTTCAAAACCATTGAAACTCACCTCACTTGCTCACAAAAACGACAACCCCCAATCCCTCCATCAGCGCCTTCGTAGTTACATAATTGTTCACATGATTAATTTATTTTATTCTTTAATCAATGATTAAGCATTGCGAAATATTAAGTAAACAAACACCTAATGACACCTGCTCTATCTCACTAATTTAATGTGTATATAGAAAATTTAATTAAATAGGATTATAATTCTTCCTCACTTCTTCCTTTTATTTTTACTTTACATTTGTTTTGAAAAATTAACATCATTAATTTTTATCGTATATACCTCATTTTCTTTTTAATATTTTTAGTTTTTTATTTTGCATATTAAAATTTTATTTTATTTATGATTAATTTATTTCTATTGTTATAACTTTTTAATATTTTAATTTTATTATGTATTTTTATTAATATATATATATATATATATATATATATATATATATGTATATATATGTATGTACTTACTAGAGATACCAACTAATATTTAGCGAATTCAAATGATATAGTAAAAGTATAATTAATATAAAAAGACAAGTGTTGTGATTATTTCAAGTTCTTTTTAAAAATTTGATTTCTAACATTTTATTTTAGATGATAAAGATTCTTAATATTTGACAGAAGAATCAGTTTGATTCTTATTTATTTTCTAGAGCATTTTAATCATCAACATTTTACTCTAAAATAAAAAATTATTTTAAAATATTAATCAAACGATTTTTATTCAAATAAAGTTTTAATCTTAAAATAAAATATTAAAATATTAAAATATTAAAAAATAGGGATAAAAGTACTTTAATAAATTATCTTGAAACAATTATAAAGGGTCTTAAACAAATCCAATTATGAAAGTATTTTATTAGAATAGTTTATTTAACAAAACATGGCCACAGATGCCCAGACAAGACAAGCCCCAAATGCCAAGACCACGCCCCGATTTACACTTTCCCGCATAATAACATTGGGAGAAGAATATTGTACAATATATATATAACCAAGTCCCTTTATTACTACACATACATCTGTGTCGGTGAATTTGGATTTTGTGTATTTTTTTTTAGGTTTTTCTTCCTTTATCTTTCCCTCTGCATTTCTTCCATCATACTAATTTTGTTGTGTCGGAAAAACATTTCATTCCAACGTGTAACCTTAAACACATGACACAACCAAGCTGACTATGCCCACTCGAAAGAAATTTCAGTCCATCTCCTTCCCCTTCCCCTTCTTAGTTCCAGTCCTCTGATAAAAACCCAAAACAGACGCAAAGCTGAGAAGCTTAGGATTTCTCCAACACCTCGGAAGCTATGGAGAGTGGAACAGCCGTTGTTGCTTCAAGGGAGAGTTCGAGGAAGTCTATGGCGGAGAGGCCTTACAAAGGTATAAGGATGAGGAAGTGGGGCAAATGGGTGGCTGAGATTAGGGAGCCCAACAAGCGTTCCAGGATATGGTTGGGGTCTTATTCGACACCCGTCGCGGCAGCTCGAGCTTACGACACGGCGGTTTTTTACCTGCGTGGACCCTCGGCTAGGTTGAATTTTCCCGACCTTTTGGCTGGAGAAAAATCCGGTGGCGGCGATGGCGATTTGTCGGCTGCTTCTATAAGGAAAAAGGCTGTCGAAGTCGGTGCTAGAGTTGATGCTCTTGAGGCAGCTCACCACCACCATTATAATCATAGTTATGACGAGGAGTTGAAGCCAAGTGCAGACGGGTTTTTACATCGGGTTGATTTGAACAAGATGCCTGACCCGGAAGATTCGGATATTGAATGAGAAGGAGGGGGGGGGGGAAGGGTACTTGAATGAATCATGGCCGTCCAACATTTATGATTACAAAGTTGTAATTTTTGGTATGTCCCTAAGAGAAAGGGGGAGATTGCTAAAATGCACCGGGACATTCCAGATCGTGCACACTGTAGGGGGGAAATTGATGAAGCCTTTTGTATTAATTATTAGTTTTTTTAATGAAAAATCTTTTTGGTTTTTATATTTAGGCAAATTGGTGGGATCCAATTGTGGTAATCAAAATTGAACGGTGCAGAGGGAATGATATATTTGGTGCTAATTTCCAATTTCTTTATTTCTCTTTCCTTTTCTTTTAGTTGGCTAAGTATTTTAAGACCATTATTTTCTGAAATTTTATTTGAAAATTCAATTCAATCAATTTAAATACATATTTATATTTAGATCAATTCAATTTAATCATTAAAAAAAACAGAAGAGAATGAACATGTATGTATAATGTATGTATTTTCACCTTAACAGCAGTTTACCCTCAAAATCAACAGCCGAAAGTGAACATGTTTCGTGTTGAGCAATAATCTGAAAATTTGATAAAGCAATAAGCGAGCGGTTGAGTTGGGCTCCAGACGATTGGGGGTCTGGATGAATAACCATAGCTTTGAATCTAATGCTTTCCTTTGTAAAAAATAAAATAAAAATAGAAGCATATTTAAAGGAGGAGCAGTGGAGAAAAAGCAAGTCAAATTCACATACCAGCATCTTCAAGGTTGGTGTTTGAGGGGAGGCTGTGTCATCAAATCACAAACCACCTTGATTTCCAATCATCAACAAGAAAATCTGAAATTCTATGTTCAACCTGTTGATGTTGGCAAACGATCAGCACGTTCAGATTTCTTTTGTTTTTCTTTTCGACAATAAAAAAAAAATACACCATATGATATAACAGTTAGCTTCACCTACAGCTGTAGGTTTCACCACTTGTAAATCCTCTTTTCTTGTCATAAAATCCCCAACTATATATACTCCTCGTGGCTACATACATCCAATTAAATAATAAATGTTCGTACAGAGAGCAAGGGTAGAGTTGGAAAACCATATTCCCAGGCTGTTATACAGCCTCTTTTATTCTGAATCATATTTTTCTACTGCCTTCCGTCCAATAAATACATGTCATATTGATATAATCTAACAATAAATATATGCCTACCTTTATACGTGGATACTGTCCGAATCATATTGGACTTGGGCTTTTGATGCTTGAAAATGGGCGAGGAAAGATTAGTCCTCCTTTGAAACCCAAGTTTCTTAAACCCTCGTCTTTTAAGTTTTCAACAGTTGGTATCTGATTCTTATCCAGTTGCATCTGCACTAGGATGAGGTGTGATACATTCAGAATATCTTGTCATTTTCCCACATTCAATTATTAGTTTTGTTTTCCAGCTAAATATAATGCAAAGCATATAATCAATCTCCCAACCCAATGTCTTAGATTACATGCACGTCTTCTGTTTTCTGTCAACGAGTCGTTATATCAAGCAAGACCCTAAAGTCTGACCCCCCATTGCTGGGGGTGGAACCACGTAGTTTAACAATGATGCCATGATCATATAGTTTGTATATTTATCCATTTCCATTTTTATCACAATTATATTTAAATTACCATGACAATTATTCACGTTTTTTTTATTTCTGTATCATATAATTATATCAATCTGTGCTGCCCTGTAGAGAACAATAATTCTTAATTAAGATCAATTAGACATTTGGACTCGAGGGCGGGGCTACATCTAACTTGAGTCTGGACAAAACTTGGCCTAAATTTTAAATGGTTACCGACTTTGATTAGGATCTACCAATAGTTAGAACGTGCATAATATATATATATATATATATATTTGAATTCATCCAAATTTAGATAAAATTAAATTATAAGTAGTAATATATGTCATAAATATTTTGAATCATCTGACGATAAACACTAAAATATTTTATAGTCATTCGTGCTGAAATCTGGGACCTCGAAACATAACAACTATCATTTTAACCACTGAAGTCGCTTAGTTTGTACAAATATTAAGTTGTTAATCCAACATTAATTCAAGTGATGTTTATATAAATTTTGAAAAGCAAAGAGTTAAAAAGGATTAATCGCATAAAATCTTGTTTTGGGGTTAGATAGCAGCCGTGATATTATGGCCTTGAGAATATAGTACGCTTTTTTAGGTAAAAGTTGAAATTAATTCCAATATTTGAATCCGAATTAGGATTTCAATATTTGTCTCCTAAAATTGTAGCCCATGATGCCCACCACATTATTTTTGTTATTTTCTTTCTATTTTTTTCAATGAAGGAATTTGAACATAATTTTTGTAACTCCTAAATTATTGTTCTATTCATTTTAATTATCAAAGACTTTTGATGGATATAATATATTAAATAATTATCAAAAGATTTTAGTGGTAGAAAGAGATGTTATTCTCCCATGAGGTTTTGAGTTTGAGCAATTACATCTGTAGGTCATATGTGCGGGTTGTTGATGCTTAAAAAATTACGAATAAATATTACCTTATAATCACTCTAAATTATTAAAAAATCGATTTGTATGAACCGGAACTAGGGGTGGTAGTGTTTAGAGAGGGGGAATAAAAAAATGAGTTCCACATCGGTTTCATTGAATGGTTGTTTGGAGTGATTGATGCAGTGTATGGTTAATTTATGGTCTCATTTATTGGTGTGGAAGAAGGGAGCTGGTCCAAGCGTACATATTTTTGTCTGCGTAATTACCTTTTTATCTTGTTATTATACATGCCAACCACGAATTTCCTTTTTAAGAAAGTTTCTAAATCAAGTCCATTAATTACAACAATTTCATCATCGATCCCACCGTCAATCTTTCTTATGATTTAATGTGTCAACCAGAAATCAATGTGAAGGATGGATGGTATCTTTATGGTTTTCTCACGAATGGGGGCACTTGTTTATAAGGGTGTTCAAACGGTTAATTCGGTCACCGACTAAACCGAATTAACCATAACCGAATTAACCAAATTTTTTTTCTTTAACCGTTAACCGAACCGAAATATATTTGAAAATCCAATTTCGAACCGAATTAACCGTTAACCGAATTTTAAAAAAATAATTAATCGTTCCCCGACCGAACTAATTCGGTGGCCGACCGAATTAACCAAACTAATTCGATGGCCAACCGAATTAATCAAACTAATTTTATTTGGTCGGTTAATTTGGTTAAAACTGAAAAATAAACAACCTACTTGTTTATTGCATTTACATTAAAGGTTTATTTTCATAAAACTATCAAAAACCCATGGACGTAATTGCATTTTTTTTGGTAATGTAGACCCCTTTAGTCATGTACAATTTTAAATAGGATCCATTATTTTTGCCCAGAAAAGAAAGTCATATTTCGTGTGGAATCTCAAAACTAATTTTTTAAATATCTTTTAATTATTTAATATAAAATTAATATATCTCAATTTCACGTTTTAAGGGGTGAGCATTTGATTGAGTCGAGTCGAGTCTAGTCAAAAAATTTTGAGTTATTCGAGTTGACGAGTCATATTTTATGACTCAAACTTAACTTGAAATATTTTTGAGTTGAGTCGAATTTAAGAAATTCGAATCGAGTTGTTCAAGTTTCTATATAAATTTAATTGTAATTATTTATAGTATTATAGTACGAAATTTTGTTAGAACCAACTCATAGTAAACATAAAATTAATCAAGATCTAATCATGTCAAATCATCAAAAATAAATATTAGATACGAGAGTGTACCTGAATTGATCGATATGTTGAAACTCTTGAGTATATTTTTTGTTGTGATCTTCCAAGATATTCTCTCAAGTATAAACTATTTGAATATATATCTTGGGGACCATAACCCTTTATATAGTTGATTTAATAATTGATTATTGCTCGTACTTATAATTCTACCACTAATCAAATTAAAAATACAACTTTAATAGTATCTACATTTTATTTCCATGACACTTTTAAACCTTATGACTTTATAACATAATTGGTCACTTAATTTATGTCATATCTTATGATAACAAAATATATTAAAAATATGTGCCCATTATTATGGATCTTAATCCATCAATCTCCCTCTTGGGTAACATATGTTTCTTGATAAATGTATAACCTTATGAGCTCAAAACTTGTTATCATGCAATATGTATTCTATAATAATCTCGTCCATCAACTATATCCATATAGAATAAAAAATGTTTTTGTTGTATCAATCATAACTAGACTCATCAATGGTCACGTATACAAACACAATCAAATGACATAGATCAATCATAGACCGTACATAGAAATTACATGCAATGTGAATCACACATGTATATTTCTAACTGGTCATCTTTAAACATTAGTGATGTCAAATTTTACTAAAACCAGAGTGTGCATAAACCAAAACAAGCTTCATTTCTACAGAAAATAGTTTTAAAATAATTATCCTAAACTAAAGTAACTGAAATTACGTTTATAATAAATGATCATTAAAATTAAAAATTCCCAATAAAATCGAATATCCTTAAATGGATACTATACCCACACGAGTAGTGTGCTCATTAAAGACATTGGGTGATAGTTCCTTAGTAGGCACACAATTATGAGTTTATATTATATGTTCTATAAATATATAATCACTATAAATTTTGTTTAACAACCAGAAACATAATCTTTATGTGCTTAGACTTTAAGGTGTTTTTGTTGTATATGGAATAAATGACTGTGATGAGTATTTAGAATCGTTAATATTTGCTCATTATTTCTTCAATTTTGTGGAATTATTGCTGCTGATTGGGTCGTGTTATGTTTGTTTTCGTGCAATTCCTTACTTTCCAGAATTGGCGACAAAACAGGTGCATTCTGCATTTTTTTATTATTTGATCACGGCTGGAGACATAGACACAACACGACGCGGGCTAACGTGGCGGTTTCTAGAAGGTCCAGTCAGTGGTAGTTTCTAGAAGACTTCCTCAGCACGCCTTCTGGAATATGGACAAGCAGAGTTGCATTAGGAGACTAGTTTAAAGTTTGAATTTAGGAAAAAACAATTATCTTTAGGATTATTTTATTTTATTTTCTTTGTTTATCCTTAGGCTTTGAGAGGTTATAAATAACCACTTGGGGTAAGCCTAAACTCATCACTCAAATTACAATCTTCTTTTCTCTCTAGTTTTATTAAAGTTTTCTCTTTTTACTTTTCACGTTTTTCATTTTTCTTTTATTTTCAAGTTTTGGTTTTAATATGCTAAGTATGACTTTTGTCATGCTTAGCTAAATTTTTCATAAGCCGAGAGCTGAAGCGATGACTCAATTCCAACGAGAGAATTGAAACAGGTCCTTAATATCTTCGAAATATCTCTCTCAATCTCTACGCTTACTTTTCAAAATCAAAATAGTTTTCAAAATTAAAGATTGACTTTGGTCAAGAGGTTATTGCGATTAAATGTGTGGGAGGAAGATTCGGCTTATAGAAAGCAAATTCGACTTCATGGGAACACATTTGGCGAGATGGCTTCGCCAAGAGGGATTTGAGATCGGAATTGACGGTTATAGAAGCAACAATCCGAGTCGGTTGCCACGAACTTAAACGGTAATTGATCTACGATAATTGATGTTGATAGAATCAATTTCTGAAGTCGGAATCAAAGATTGCCTTGGGTATTCGGTATACAAGATAGAGTCATGGGGATAGCCCTTGTAGACAAAGTAACCGACGTGAATCTCGGAGGGAAAATATTATTCGATGATATAAAGGAAATTGAGTCAAACCGAAGTTTGAGGCTATTTTTATCGTATTTATTCACAATCTTTACCCTCTTTTTTTTACTTTAATTTCTTTTATTTATTTAATCGCTTTTTACTATTTAAATCTCATATTACAAAACCCCATTTTTACTATTTTCGCCTGGTTAGAACCATTCAAATATAAAATTGTGATTTTCTAAGTCCTTGAGGATTAAACCCTTATTTCTCTATACTACGTATTTCCTTATTTATTAATTGAGAAAAAAGAATTTATTTGACATCCAAAACGACAGTTGTCAGACTACAACCTAGTTGTCACAAAATAACTCAATTGATCTTTCTTATCAATCCATAATTAGCAGTTCATGTGACAAGGTTTTGCATCCATATTCCAATAAGTCAAAGTTCATAAACCTGATGATCTCTTACTTACTAGACCTCCAATATGTGAGCATGTAACATTTTTGTTCTTAAATGTATCATATGAATCAATTTGGCTGCTATTCAAAGATCCATACGAAAATTGCTTCTCCTTAATATCGTAAAATCATACGCTCTGTCTAAATACGTATAAACTTGAGTATACATTAATTTTTTTTATTTTGAAGCATAAAAAGCCTTTTTGCATTTCCTTAGTTTCAAAAATATCCTTAGTACATTGATAAAGATAAACACTTAGAGAAATTTGTTATACAATTAAGGGGAGTCATACTTAAACTTATAAATAGATTTTCTTAATTTACGTATCATTAATTTTCTATCATCAGATATAATTTTTTAATTACACCATATAAAATATCTCATCAATGTTACCATTGAGAAACATAATTTTGAAATACAATTTATGTAACTCTAGATAAAAACAATTATCATGATTATCCTAAAAGAGTCTTTCAATGAAACCAAAGAGGAAGTCTCTACAAAATTTTTCTATCATCAGATATAATTTTTTAATTACACCATATAAAATATCTCATCAATGTTATCATTGAGAAACATAATTTTGAAATACAATTTATGTAACTCTAGATAAAAACAAGTATCATGATTATCCTAAAAGAGTCTTTTAATGAAACCAAAGAAGAAGTCTCTACAAAATTAATGTCTTTTTTTCTAAGTGTATCATTTAGATACGAAACATGTTTTATACCTATCAACATCACCATTTGCACCCATCTTGGTAATGAGACAAGTTTTCAAACTTTATTATTTTATATAGAACTTATACTCTTTTTACATGACATCAATCCATTTTTTAGAGTTAGAATTTTTATAATTTGATGAAAGTTAATTAGATCATCTTCACCGTTCCACTGGAATCCTTATTTCTTGTAGAAACATAATAATCTAATATAAAATATCTAACATCTCATGGATCTTCTTAATGTCACTTATTCTTTAAGGTTATTGAGTTCGTTCCTCCATAACAATTTCTCATCTTAAAAGGAGAGTTGTTCAGAAATAGTATTATTGACATTCTAGATTTATTTCTTGATTAACATGTATGAACACATGAATATTATCAAAAGTGATAATAGATATTAAGTTATAATCCAATTATCATGATTGAGAATGGTGAACAAAGAGAAATTAAAAAAACGTTCAATAAGGGAATTCATATTTAGAGAATATGAGAGTTTTATTCAATAACCTAGTCTACATATTATTATTATTTTTGGTTGAAACAGGTACAAAGGGCTGTTTAGATGCCCGTTCTATCAGAAATCAGAAACTTCTCGGCTTCCTTGGGAGGGTTCTGCAGCAAAACTGAATCCCCTTGGTAACTCCATAATTGCCTGGTGATAACATCCGCTACTCGATTTGCCTCTCTAGGTATGTGCTTCAGTTCAACCATCCAATTTCTCTTGAGCAAAATCTCTATGTGCTGTAGAATAGTTAATTTTCTGTGTTCAGTCGACTTGTTTCTGATGAGGTTTATGGATTCTTTGCTGTCAGATTCCAAAATCACTTTCCTTTCACCCTTCATCCATGCAACTTTTAATCCCTCGTGAATACCCCAAAGTTTTGCTTCTAAGATTGAACAAATCCCAATTTTCTTACCAAAACCCCAATTCCAGTTTCCGTTATGGTCTCTTGCAATTCCCCCGCACACGGCTTCTCCCGTATTCTGTTGTTTGGCTCCATCTGTATTAATCTTGCAGTAGTTTCTGTCTGGTTTTTGCCATTTGTATTGATCGCTATTTCTGCTCTTTGTATTTCCAGTCTTAGAACTTTCTGTATTCTGAATATCTTGGGATAGTCTTAAGGCTTGTTGAATAATAGAGTCTCTTTCAATCATTTCCGGGTCGAAAATCACCTGATTTTTTCTTTTCCATATGTACCAGATAACAACGCTGAAAAAAGTAGTCCAGTTCTCGATCCTCGGTGATGGGGATTGGTTTGTTTCAATGTTTTCAATGAGCCATTCCTTTATGTTGATACTCAGGAACTTTTCCATTTTCTAGGTACCCAGAAGTTCAATCCATATCTGCAAAATTTTTGGGCAGAATCTCGTCAAATGGTTGATATCTTCTGATTCATAGTTGCACATAGGGCATCTTTCATCTGTTGTCAAATGTCTACGGGCTCTTTCTGAATTGGTTAGTAATCTGTCGTTTCCTATAAGCCATAGGAAAGTTTTAATTCTGGGTATGCTATTATGCTTGGCAATGGTGGACCAGATTTTCTCCTCTGATGAATTGATATTTGCGATTTTCTTATAAGCAGATTTGACAGTAAAGACTCTTTTCTCCGAGGGAATCCAGCCGGGCGAGTCTGCAATGCTAACTTCTATTGGAGGAGGTGTAGCTTTCAATTTGTTGATGATTTGGTCTGGAAGTAGCCGATGAATCTTGTTCCAATCCCAGGTACTATTCTGGTTGATCATCTTATTTACTTTGGATTTGTCGTTTTCCACTTCAACTGGATGGATGCATGAATTTGATAAAGGGCCATTCTGATCTAGCCAATTGTCGTGCCAAAATTGAACATGATTTCCGTTACCAATGTTCCAGCAGATATTCTGCTTAAACTCTGACCAAAGGTTGCATATGTGGTTCTAGAGAGCTGAACCTCCCTTCTTAGTTAGCTTCTCAGGCAGGATTCCTTCCACTTTATATTTGTTTCTCATCACCTGCACCCATAACAGATCATTTCTATTAATAAGTTTATAAGCCAGTTTAAAGAGGAAAGCCTTGTTTTGCATCCTCAAGTTCTTTAGGCCTTGTCCCCCATCTTTAATAGGTTTACAAAGGGTATCCCAGTTCACCAGATGAACACCTCTCTGTTCATTAGTATGACCCCAGATAAAGTTTCTAGTAAATCTTTCCAGTTCATCGCAAGTTCCTTTAGGGATAAGAATTGACTGCATAGTGTAAGCTGGAATTGAGGACAGATTTAGCAAGGGTGATTCTTCCCGCCAAAGATAATGTCTTAGCCTTCCAACCTGAGAGTCTGTCTTTCACTTTCTGAATGATGCTGCTATAGGTGTTTTTATTGATTCTGTTGTGTAATAGAGGAACGCCCAAGTAATTTCCAAGATTGTAGACCTCTTTGATTCCAATCATGTTCGTAATAGTGTCTCTGGTTTGAACATTCAAATTGCTTGAGTAAAATATATTAGATTTCTGCAGATTAACTTTCTGACCCGAACTGCTACAGAATTTTTGGAGCGTATTCTGAATAACCTTAATTTGGGACTTGTCTACTTCAGCAAAGAGCATAAGGTCATCTGCAAAAAAGAGGTGAGAAATGTTAGGACATTTTCTAGACATTTTAATTGGTTTCCACTTACCTTGATCCACATTTAATGCAATTTCTTGCACTAATCTCTCCATGCAGATGACAAATAGGTAAGGCGAAAGGGGGTCACCCTGTCTGATTCCCCTTTATGGTTTAAAAGGCTCCGTAAGACCACCATTCCAGTTAATTTGGATCGTCGTGGAGGTAATACAATTCATAATAGCCATAATAAATCTATTAGGTAAGCCAAACTTCACAATACTATCTCTAATAAAGTTCCAATCTAATCTATCATAGGCTTTTTCCAGATCGATCTTGATGGCCAGGTACCCCTTCTTACCTTTCTTTATCTTCATAGAGTGGATAACCTCTTGAGCAAGGATAATGTTGTCTGTAATAACCCTTCCTGGTATAAAGCTTGTTTGGCTATTAGAAATTAGAGTAGGAAGAATAGGTTTTAAGCGGTTAACGATAACTTTGGTTATAATTTTGTAGGTAACCTGACAGAGGCTTATAGGTCTAAATTGAGTAATTCTATCCGGGTTATCAATCTTAGGAATTAAAACCAAACACGTTCTGTTTAAAGCTTCTTCAATCTGGCCACCATTGAGATAGTGTTTGACTAGCTGGCAAACCTTTTCTCCAACTGTGTCCCAATTACTTTGGAAGAAGTTAGCATGAAACCCATCAATACCTGGAGCTTTTAGAGGATTCATACTGAAAAGAGCATCCTTAATTTCAATGTTCTCAAAAGGTTTATCCAACCAGTTCCATTGCTCTCTATTCAGATTAGCAAAGGGTCTAGAATTCTCAAGAGATTGCTTCACTAAAGGATCTTTTGTGAATAGTTATTCATAGAACTTTTTAACATGGTATTTAAGCATTTCTTGATCTTCGCACCAGGTCTCAGCTTCAGTTTTGAGAGCTGTAATGATTTTTTTCCTGCCCTTAGTAATCGCACAGGAATGAAAGTACTTGGTATTTTTGTCTCCATGTTTAATCCAATTGTATCTCGCCCTTTGAGCCCAAATAAGTTCTTCTTGTCTTAAAATTGTGTCAAGCTCAATCTTGAGATCAACTTCAAGAATAGACAATCTGTTTAAATTATGGTGACGAAGCGCTTTATCAATCCCTTTAAGCCTAGCAATTAATCTTTTCTTCTTCTGGTTAATATTACCAAAAACTTCTCTATTCCAAACCTTAATGTTCTCCTTGATATGGTTGAGGCTATCCATAAGGTTCTCATGTTTAACCCACTCTTTTTTAATGAAATGTTCAAAATCTGGGTGATCCAACCAGGCTGCCAGGAATCTGAACGGTTTCTGTCTAGAATCTTTGGGGCTGTCCATAGTATGTAAAAGGATAGGACAATGATCAGAGCCCATTCTTTCAAGGTGTTGGACTCTAGAATTGGGGTAAAGCTCTAACCACTTCAAATTCATGATGCATCTATCTAGTCTTTGCCATAGGTTGCCCCGCCTCCAAGTAAATTCATCACCTTGGAAATTAACATAAATCAGATTGTTGTTGAAGATGAAATCTTAAAAATGGTTACTTCCTCCTCTGTACTTACTGCTACCACCTGTTCTCTCATCAGGACTCAGAATACAATTAAAGTCTCCTCCTAGAATCCAAGGCTCATTATTGTTAGGCTTGAGCTTGTCTAGAAGATCCCAAATCTTACAATGAATATTGGGGTTGGGGCTAGCATAAATTGATGTGAAGAAATTCCAGCAGTTAATGTTATTATCCTTAATTTGAGCATGGACAAACTGGTTAGAGATACTTAATATTTTCACCTTAAGCGAATTATCCCAAAGAATCCAGATGCCTCCACTGTGACCCTGAGCTTCGAATCTAAAAGAGTTGATGTACCCCATATTGTTAATAATTCTGTCAGCTTTCTTACCACTTGTGTGAGTCTCCATCAGGGCAATAATCTTGGGTTTGTGACTAAACACACAATCTTTAAAGTGTCTTCTAAAAGAGGGTTTAACAACCCCTTGAGTGTTCCAAAAAAGAATCTTCATAATTTTTGAGGTAATTGATTGTTGATTTGTGCCCAATCCATCTCTTCCTGTTCACCGTCTTGGTTCTGGTTCAGATCAATTTGCTCCAGAGATTGACTTTGGTTTTTTGTAGGGTTGTTGTAATCAGGAGGAGCCAAATTCTCAGAGTTCATGGATTTTTTTTGAATCCATTCTGAAATTAATTGAACATTAGGACTGGTAGAAGGTTTAGATTTACCAATTTTCAGACCTTTTTTGGTAAAATGGGAAACTTGCTTAGATTTTTTTATTGATATTCCATCTAGAAGTACGATTTCGTATGCTGTCCTTATCATGAATGGTAATTGCTGTATGGACTCCATCTCCCATATTTACCCTGTGTTCACTAATTTGGATTTCTTCATTCGCCATGACTTGGATCCCTCCTATCATAACCTCCTTAGTATTGTCTTTGTTAGCTGCCATTTCATTGTCAGTAATAGGGACATCAACTAATCTATTTTCATCTTCAATGCTGGTATGAGTCATAGTCCTCTGGGTCTGTATTGTAGTAGTATCATTTTGAGATTGTATGTCTTTGTTCCTTATTCTTTCTCTATCT